CTCTCTCTCTCTCTCTCTCTCTCTCTCTCTCTCTCTCTCTCTCCTAGGTATTGGTGGCGGTGGTAGTTATGCACATATGGGGCAGTTTAGCCCTTAGGCTACAGTCCAGTAGTACGGAAAACAACCCATTTCTCTCACTTAACTTCCTGAAGTTTGCTTTGGGCTAAAGATGTATGAGCCTAGAGCACTCAGAAGTGTGTATTGTTGGGCAATGTAACTATCATGGAAGGTTGGATTTTCAGCCTGTAAAATACTGGGACAAAATATTTTTTTAAATAACAATTAGATAATTCCTAAATTCATTTCCAAAAGGGGTATTTTGTGAATTGATCTGGAATTTCTGAGCTATGTTCAAATGAGAACCAGGTCCACCTGCTAAGACAAGATTTCCACATTGGCTCTTTGCTATCTTCCCTTTGTCCTTCGGGATGCTCTGTCTGGTGAATTTTCTGAAGGGGGTACTGTGTTTTTGTTTCACACTCTCAGTGTGAGTTCCAGGACCTAAATGTATTTTATGTGCTTTCCCCTTCCTTGTCCAAGGTTGTCAGCATTTGTTTTACGATGTTTCATGGAAGCTGATTTCTATATAGATATTGATCAGAATGTGTTACAGAGGACATATAATTGGCTCAAAGAACATCGGAAACCCAATGGTGAATTTTGGGAGCCAGGAAGAGTCATCCACAGTGAACTCCAAGGAGGCAATAAAAGCCCTGTAACACTGACAGCCTATATTATGACTTCTCTCCTGGGCTACAGAAAATACCAGGTATGTAATTGTCCACAAACCCCAGGACAGTGGATGTTGCTGGGTCAAATATGTGTCTCAGAATGGAAAGTTCTTTGCAATTTTACACTGCATTTGAAATCTGCATTTGCATAGCTCTGTGCTTTGCATTTGGGGCCACATTCCAAAATCTGGAGAAAAATAACCCAAGCTTTCAGAGTAAACTTAGGAGAATCTGCAAGGGTTTTAAGTATATGCATTGTGCTTGCTACTGGTAATAGAAGTCAGTAATAATTGATTGTTAGGAGAAAATGTGCACTTTAGAACATGGGAATGTGCCCTAGCAAGTTGAGGTGAAGGGTTTTTTTGTTTTCTTTTTACAGTGCTAAGGACTGAGCCCAGGGTGTTCCTATAGGAGGCAAGTGCCCTGCTGAGCTATGTTCTCGGGTATTTTGAATGTTTTTTTTCCCCTTTGTTTAGACCTTTAAACTTTTCTGGAGTAATTGCAATGTCTGTTAATTGAGTGGAGCCTGGACTTCTGAAAGCCTGAGGCAGGAAGGGGTGCAGATGTGCAGAGTGATGTGTGTGGGGGGATGCTGATAGTCATGATGTCGCCCCAGAGATCTCTGCCTGTTTGATGCCTTACTCTTATCGAACCCCAATTCTCAACATCAGGAGCCATTCTCTTTATGAAGCTCCGGATTACTTTCCTAGTTTAGTACCAGGCCAGTGGAAGGCAAACTTTTCTGTGAGCTTCGAGAGTCCATTCCTAGTAATATGTACAAGAAGCATATTTCTGAAGCTATATTTTCTTTTGCTATTTGGGTTTATAGTACTCAGCAGGTTAAAAAGTTTGCAGTTTTTTTTTTTTTAATTCCTTTCAAGAATAGCGTCTACTTAACTACAGCAAATGAATAGTCCTGTTACTTTCAGAATATATGGCAGATGCTTAAATGTCAGTGAACACTTTTGAATCGAATTGCTTACAATGAGGTCAAATGCTTAACAGGCCTGGAGTCTTTATCTGGGTGACTGACTGTTTCAGTGTACTTTTTATTTACATATGAGGAGTGGTAAAATATGTATGTTTTCCTTCCAAGCCTGTTATCGATATACAACCCTCTATCAAGTTTTTGGAGTCTGAATTCGACAGAGGAATTACAGACAATTACACTCTAGCACTTGTAGCCTATGCCTTGTTTTCAGTGGGGAGTCCTAAGGCGGAGGATGCTTTGTACCTGCTGACTCAGCAAGCAGAAAAGAAAGGTATGCCTGGGACCTGCCTGAGCCTGAGAAGAAAATTGGGCTTCGTGGAAAAGATGTGAAAAAAGCTTGTATGCTAACTATGACATTGATAACATTTGCATCTTTAGGATGAGATGAAAAACAGTACAGAACAACACCAAGATGGGATGGGCATGTTCCAGGAACTTCAGACATCAGACTTCAGACATCACACTTGGACATTTTATTGTCTGTCTGTCTGTCTGTCTGTCTGTCTGTCTGTCTGTCTGTCTGTCTGTCTGTCTGTCTGTCTGTCTGTCTGTCTGTCTGTCTGTCTGTCTGTCTGTCTGTCTGTCTGTCTGTCTGTCTGTCTGTCTGTCTGTCTGTCTGTCTGTCTGTCTGTCTGTCTGTCTGTCTGTCTGTCTGTCTGTCTGTCTGTCTGTCTGTCTGTCTGTCTGTCTATCCATCCATTATCTATCTTGTATAGGTTTTTTTTTGCCTGCATTTTTGTCTGTGCACTGTGCATGTAGTACCCACAGTGACCAGAAGAGGGAAGTGTACTCCCTGGAACTGGAGTTAAGCTGATTATGAGCTGCTAGAAACCAGGCATCTTCTTTTACATAGGTTCTCCTTTGACATTCTCTTTGAGTTGGTTACTCTTTGAATTTCTGATGTTATTTTTCCAAAAGTCCCTATAAAGTACTGAGAGGTTAAAGTGTGTCTTAGGGTGAGTTGTTGTGTGTAAGTAACTTTAGATTCAAAGTTCTGTTCTTTCAAAAAGGGTGACATGGGGTTGGAGAGATGCTGTGGCAGTTAAGAGCACTTGTTCTCTGTCACGAGGACTGGAGTTTCCATCTCAGCACCCAAGCTGGGCAGCTCACAAAGGCCTATAACCCAGCTCTAAGGGAGCCAGTGCTCTTTTCTGGCCTCCATGGGTGTACACACACACACACACACACACACACCCACACCCACACCCACACCCACAGTCCACTGCAGGGGAATCACTTCAGTCTGTGAGGATGAGAGGAAGCAGAGGGCCTCCACCCAGGACAGCCTATCTAGCTAGAACAGGATTATTTCAGTAAGGTTGTTGACGCTGGGGTTGCTCAGTTTTTCTTGGGGTTTGGATTTTGGTATTTATACTATAAACTTGAAAAGAGGGGGGGAAGAAGGGGAGAGGTTTCACAGAATGTGAGAGCTGGTTACTGATAGATTCCTGGAACAGGATTCTTTCCCATGTGTCCTAAACTATTTGTGGGAGGGAATATATAAATATATATATATATATATATATATATATATAATTCTTCTGATATTCTTGGGAAGAATATATATATATATATATATATACTTTTTATTTATAACTGTTTAGTGTTGCACCAAAAATATGGTATTTCCCTTGGGAAAATATTTTAATCAAAACATGCTCAAATGCAAGCAAAAAGGAAAAGATGAACATTTATACACTGTAATAGTTTAAAATATACCATATAATGCATGTTTATATATGCTTATATGTGCATATGCTTGCATATATGTTACACACATATATAAAATCTGCTTTTTTGCTAGTGAAACAGAGCTGGACTAGTACAGAAATAGTTAATGGTACAAGTGTAAGCTTTTGGTAGTTGCCCAATATGTTATATTTTCCTCTCAGGAGACATGCAGTTCTGGCTGTCATCAGCACCCACGTTTTCTCAGTCCTGGCAGCCACGCTCCCTGGATATTGAGGTCGCAGCTTATGCCCTGCTCTCACACCTGCAGCACCGTGTTTCTGAGGGAATCCCAGTCATGAGGTGGCTCAGCCGTCAAAGAAATAGCCTAGGAGGGTTTGCATCCACTCAGGTGAGAGATTATAGGTTTTTTTTTCCTGAAAATATTAAAAAACATATCAATAAAGAACACAGCTGCTTTTTCATAGTCATAAAATCACTTATATTAAAAGCTCAGTAAATTAAATGAAAGGTGTAAGATGTTAATTTGAATGATTTCCTCATTTGAGCTTCATATCTGGTCTGTAAATTGAATACACTGGGTCCACATCTGTGTTAGCTGTTTTGTGTCTGTGGTAACTGGCTTAAGCACGTTGCTCAGTCTGTATTGGAGCAGTTTGTTGAGCCTCTTATGTACTCCCAGCAAGAGGCTCCCAGAAGACCAAGGAAGCAGACTTCTTGCAAGGGTGGAAAATGTCCATGAGATTCCCAAATATTGCCAAATGTTTTCTTTGGAGATCTTGCTGGATATTTCTAAAGATGCACAATCATTTTTCTTCTCTCAACAGGATACTGTTGTGGCCTTGAAGGCCCTCTCTGAATTTTCAGCCCTAATGCACACGGAAAATACAAATATCCAAGTGACTGTCACAGGTCCCAGCTCACCGAAACCCATACACTTTCGGATTGACACACAGAATCGCTTTCTCCTTCACACAGCAAAGGTGCAGACAGGGGTGGTCGTTTAAAACCCTGTATAGATGGTTCTTTATTCTGGAATACTACTTTAACTTTTGTCTTCTGACCTCAACAAAGAGTTGTTCTAAGAGACCCATAGAGAGATGGAGAGAGGTTGTCCCCCTTTTAAGGTTGAATTTTCTGGAGGGTGGAGGGGATGGGAACATTGGGAGAATGATGGGCAGGAAAGAAAGTGTGGACACTTTCTCACCGGGAGTCCCACATTTGCATAGACCCTCTGCTAGGTTAGAGTAGATAGGCTACTGCATTTATTCTTCAGACCAAGTGTGCCACCACTTGACATGCAAGAAAGCTGGGCACAATGACTATGTACCATTGTGTTCATGGTCAGCCCCATGAAGGGAGGCTAGGGGAGACACGCCTCAATCCCAACAGGAGGGCAGTTTGGTCAGGAGGTCCCATGTGCCTTCCCAAAGGCTTGAGGTGCGGGATCTTGGAGAGCTTGGAGAGCACACCAGGCTGGTCAACTGGTTGATGCAGAGCTTTTGATATGTGGGACCAGGCAGAGCTCCCAGCATGCTCTAGGACTGCCTCTGCTCCTAGCACGGGATACAGTACTGGGATACAGCTATTGGGAAGGCTCTGTCTTGTGGAAAACTCACCTGCCTCACTTTTTCTCTCTCGCCTTTCTTCAGCTTGCTGTGCTAGCGCTAGAGCCCACTGTAATTAGGATTACTGCACAAGGTTTCGGGTTTGTTATTTGCCAGGTATGTATATATGATTGTCTATTTTTGCAGTTAAATGTGACTTTTAGTAACAATTCTTTACTAAGTCTTTAACTGAGACGGCTTGTGTGAAATTCTGAATGAGGGCTGACAAGATGGCTCATTCAATAAAGTTGCTTGCTGCCAAGCCTGAGTTTGATCCTTGGGATCTACATGGTGGGAGGAGGAAACTTACTATATTAATTTTTCCTACACACAAGTGCCATGCCATGCATGCCCCCTCACAATAAATAAATGAATATAACAACAATAAAATAGAACTCCTAGAGATTTGCTTTTGTGACTTAGGCAAGATATGTTTCTTACTTTAATAAGAAGTATTAGAGATGGTACTAGCTGGTGAGTAGGCAATAATTATTTGTGTTGGCAATCTGCTCAAGAAACATCTCTTAGAGATTGCTTGCTTTTTGAAGTTAATGTTGAAATCCTTCAGTGTGATTTATGTGAACAGTTGGGAAACCCTTTTCCGCCTTTGAGACAGGGTCTTGCTATGCAGACACAGTAATGTACTCAAATTATAGTTCAGGGTGGTCTCATGTGATCCTTCTGCCTCAGTCTCCCAGGTACTGCAATTTCAGGCATGGGCCACCTTGTCTGGTTTCTACATTTTTGTTGTATTTGAAAATACAGTTCAAAAAGTCTATTAATGAGCAAGAGAGATAGTGGTTTAGTGGGTAAGGGAAAACACCGCTCTTCTAAAGGACTAGTTATCAGCACCAATGTCAGGTGCTCACAACTGCCTATAATTCCAGCTCTAGAAGGCTCCTGTACCTCTAGCCTCTGTGTATATGACCCCCCCACACAAGCATGCATGCACACATGCACAAGCTCACACGTATACTTGCAAACACACATGGACACACACAATTAAAATTTAAAATGAAACTAAAAAATTATAATGTAGATAGCTGATAGAATTTATATTGTGATAACCTGATAACAAGTTAAGTATTTTACTTATAAATTCTTAGTATTTAATCTAAGAATATGAAGGTCCATATGGCTTTATAAGTTGTCTTGATAGACAATGTGTTTGTTTATGGTAAAACCTCATAAAATAGCAAATTCAAAAATTTGAGCATGACTATGTTCGATGCCATGGTATAGGATGAAAATGCCAACAAACTTACTTTTGATGGCACAATAAGAGCTGCAATTAAAAGGTAGATAGTATAGAAAGTAGTGACTGGAATAATTACACTAAAAACACCCATGCATCATGGAGCCTTTAAAATAATCTTAATGGAAACCTAAGAGAAAAAGTGATAAGGCCAAAATGATTATTACTTGGGTGGGAATAGACCAAACAACCACTTAGAAGATAATGAAATGGCTACTAGAGAGAAAAAGTGTTTTTAAAAGTCTGTTTTTATTTTTATTCCCCAAACTGCCATTCAATGCAAAAAGTAAATCCAAAAGTAACCATGCAGCATGTTTTAGACAACATTGGGAACTCGGTATCCTTAAATCATCACATTTTTTTTTGGAATTGCCATATTGTTGGAAACTGTTTTTCATCAATGACATGTAGATAAATCATTGAAACTAAAGATTGTTGCTTGAGGTTTGAAGGACACTGATAAATACAGACCTCCTGGTCAGAATATTTACTAGTCAGTGTCTGCATCAAAATTCAGAAGACAAAAGAGAGGGAGCAATAGGCATTTTCTCATGAAGGAGGGGAAATGTAAAAATATTAATCACCCAGCAATGAGAACTGAGGTTGACTTTGTTACTATTTTTTATAAGTGCTCTAGAAAGAGAGTGCTTGGGTTTGTAGTAAGTGTTTATCTACTTGGATACTAAAGGTCTAAGCAGTGATGAATGAGTTCTTTAGAAGTTCTGTGAGTGGCTAGTGAAGCCAACTATAAACCCCAATACTTATAGATAGACGTTAGTCATTACTTAGTCATCTCGCTTGGTGACACTGGTCCCTAAAGGGACAGTTGCATGCCATGGGCAGGCTGAAGATAACATACAGCCTTTAGATTTAGCTTGTCTTTGAGACAGACACTGGTCCTTGCACTACTCCAGTGTTCCCATGGCACCTCCTATCAGAGATAGGCACAGCTGAAGAAGACCCAGGTGACCTGAAATCGATCACTTATTATCTTTGAAAAATGTTTTATGATGAAAAAGAATCCTCAGCAGTTGGGTAGGCAGTGTTTTAGTTTGATTTGTCTTACTGGGAGTTTCTGAGGTTCTATTTGGATAGCAAAACTTAGAAATTAGCAGATTAATTATGCATCAGTAAATGCTTTCAAGAAAGTTGCCTGTAGCTTTCCTTTTTCCCTTAAGGGAATGTCTTCCATCCCTTGAGAAAGCAAACCATAAGCATCGTCTCTAGGTTCTGTCATTTACTTTGGAATTTTGCCTAATAGTTTTCTCAATAAAAAACTATATACTTTATAAAAGCATTGGATAATGATGCTTTCTTAGCTGGTAATATTTTTTTTTTTAGTTTGAAGACTATATATCTAATTGGCTTTAGTACAAAAAGAATCATTACCTACCATTTAAACTACAACAAACAACTTACTGCTAATTTATCACATGCTAATTTTCAAAAATAGTGTTTTTGATGAGGAATGAAAACTACACTTATCTGTGGGCAGAAGGACAAATATTTAGACTATAGTTTGGAATTTTGGTGGTTTAATAAAGTGGTGGTTGTTGGTTTTCCACCAAGATCCATGACTTCACTTATGCTATTTTTTTTAATTTATTGTAGCTTAATGTTGTTTATAATGTGAAAAGTTCAGATTCTCTTAGAAGAGCGAGATCTATTAAAAACCGTGAAGCTTTTGATTTAGATGTTGATGTGAAAGATGAAGATGATGCCAATCATGTGAATTTGAATGTGTGCACAAGGTAGGTACCTGCTTAACAATGCCTTCAAGAAAAGAGACTTGGAGGCTTAATTTGCATGGTTATCAAATGAGATCAGTTAAGGAGACTTCATCCCCCACCCCCAGATTATAGTCCAGAAGCACAGTAAGCATGTTTAAATCCTTCTTAGGCTTGCTAAAATTGGTCACAAGTTTTCTTTGTATTTGTGTCAAAAAATTCTTTAAATTATTTTATTTTATTTTACTGAGGGAAGCTGAGAAAGCCCCAAGTGAACAAATTGCTGACATGGGCACTGCCATGTCAACTCCCGATGTCTCAACCCATGGAAATGACAACACTTTTTCCGGAGAGCAGTGGGGAGGAGATTCAGGGGGTTAGCAAAGTTTTCTTCTGTTTTAAGTATAAATTTTGGCAGTGTGTCCAAAAATGAGCAACGGTGGCTTCTTCCTCCAAGATGAGTGCGACCTCTGTGTCGATGAACTAACCCATACCCTGTGCTAGCCATAATACAAGTACTGAGATACCTGGTTGTATTGTTGATGCTGCTTCATCAGAGCAATCAAACCCACTTGACCCCAGCTTTTCTGCCTATGTGCTTTTCCTTTCTTTATTCCCTTGTTGCCCCTAGTTAGGGTTCTGGGTACAAACCATGTTGGGCATGGCACTTTATTATTTAAAAATTTTTAAAATTTATTTCATAACATATGAGTGTTTTGCCTGTATGTATGTTTGTAAACAATGCATGCCTGACACTAATGAAAGTTAGAAGAAAGATCAGATCCCCTGACAGGAGTTACAGACAGTTGTGAGCTACTTTGTGGGTGCTGGGAATTGAACCCAGGTCCTCTGGAAGAACAGTCAGTGCTCTCAACCACTTACCCATCTCTCCAGCCCCTAAGATTTTATTTTTTTACCTATTATTGCTAGGCTTATGGTATGGTATGTGTCTGTGAGTACATGCATGTGGTATAGTGCACATAAGAAGTCAGAGAACAACTTTCTGGAGTTGATTCTGCTCTTCCACCTATGGCTCAAACTCCAATTATCAATCTTGTGTGGCAGGCATTTTTACCAACTCGAGAGCTCTCAGAGGATGCCCAAAGTAGGCAGGCTATTGCCATTGCTCTTGGTTGCTCATCAGAACCAGATGGTAAAGACCCTATTGATGAAGATACCACACTGGTGACAGGACATAGAGACATCAAGGAATGAACTAGAAACTCTCTCCCTTCTGGATAGTGTTCATTACCCTGGAAAGTGCTGTGTAGGCTGTAGAGGGAGAAAACTTCTCAATGCTCTCAACTTCTGTAGATCATGTGTGTTACAATTCTAACTCAACAGGCAAGGTTTGCCCATTGGTGTGATACTGGCACAAGTATTTGGGAGATAACTAGCCACTTTATGATTGTATTTGAGGCTCACTCCAAGTGAGGAAATATACACCTCTTGCTATAAATCTAGTAAAAATCCTGGGGTAAGTGGGGATAAAAATAAAAGCTAATAAAACTCAAGTCTAATTTAGGAAAACTATAAAATATCCTATCATATTTAATGTTACAAATTGTTATTTTTTTGTTGGAGTAATTTCATTTAGGGCTCAGATTTATACTTTTATACTTCTGCCCCCAAATTTATAACAGCATGCAAATCTAGCAAAAAGAATCGCTGTTTTAGATAGTGAAAACACCGCAGTGTAGAAGATTCTGGTCTTGGGTAATTGTGTACTGGTAACTTAAGATCCCAGAAGTGGTTCTAAATTGGCCTGCATCCAAAGCACCCGAGGATCTCCTTTCTGCAGACATGCTGACCTCACAGAAGAGATGTGGAGTTGTCCTCTCCAACTTCTTGGTCATCTGGTGCACATGATTTTGAGAACAACCATGACAAATTTCTTGAATCAAGAGGCCTCACAATTTCTCTTCTGTCAGTCTGTCTTCTCACCCCAGCATTGATTGGTGTCTAGTGAGATGTAGCTGTCCGAATGCACTGGCATTGAGGACCCACTGTCTGCCCTTTTCAAGTATCCTGAGGCATTTGGGTTAAACTCAGGTTGTTGTTTGCCTGGAAGCCCCTGATGCTCCATGAGGGTCATCTCTGGGTGCTGATCAAGATGATCAGCTTTCTTATCCATTGTCTGAATCATGTCTTCCCATCATGGCCATCATCTGTTCTGTTTTTGGACCTCATGGTCTGACTGAAATGAAATGACCCATGTGTTTGCCCCATTCCTCCTCCCCTTCTTATGCATTTTGACCAGCAGCTGGGGGTATTAGCATTTTTATAGTGCCTTCCTTCTCAGCCAGGAAGGAAATAGGACTTCCATTAGTCTTTCTTAACTTGGTCTCTATTAAATAAGAACACAGCTGGGCGTTGGTGGCGCACTCCTATAATCCCAGCACTCGGGAGGCAGAGGCATGCTGATCGCTGGTCTCCAGAGCGAGTGCCAGGATAGGCTCCAAAGCTACACAGAGAAACCCTGTCTCCAAAAACCAAAAAAAAAAAAAAAAAGAACATCATGTTGTTATTACTGTCAACAGGAGGAATCTATATGTGCCATAAATCTATATGCCAGACATTGAACAAAATCTTTACATGCATCTCATTTAAGTCTTACTAGAATAGTTCTTTTTAGTCAGTAATATCATGCCCACTTTTCTCTTCATTCATTCATTCATTCATTCATTCATTCATTCATTAAATGGTGGTTGATCATCCTCTGTGTCTCAGGCTGGGGTCTGCCCTGAGTGGCCAAGTAATACCCTTTCTTCATTTGTTGGTTTAAGCTGGGAAGGTTGGTGCTGCCAACTTTTGAGAGAATGTCAATGTTTTGAGAAATATTTAGTTAAGAACCAGAACAAACACTATAAGAATCTATGGAAATCCTTATGCATTGCACCTACAACCTGCAAGCACACGCTGGCTTCATTGCAGGCGCCCTATCCTACTGAAGGGACCATGTTAGCGTCATTCTACTTGTCACTGAAAGTCATAAGACTGACACAGCTATAAGAAAAGGATGCATTTTTTTTTTCTGAGACAGGGTTTCTCTCTGAAATAGCCTGGCTGTCCTGGACCTCACTCTGTAGACCAGGCTGGCCTCAAACTCACAGAGATCCACCTGCCTCTGCCTCCTGAGTGCTGGGGTTAAAGATGTGTGCTGCCATCTCCCAATAGGATGCATTGTTTTAAAGTTTCCTATAGTGAATTCTACTTGTGTTCGAACAGTATTTGGAATAATATGGTAATTTTAATTTTTACATAAAGATCGTTTGTTTAAGTTTTTTGTTCTTCCTCATCTCTTTGGTGTAGGTTTTTAGGCCAAAACAAGACTGGCATGGCCCTTATGGAGGTTAACCTTCTCAGTGGCTTTACTGTACCTTCAGGTACAATTCCTCTGAGTGAGATGGTGAAGAAAGTGGAATATGATCATGGGAAAGTCAACCTTTATTTAGATTCTGTAAGTAGTGAGATGTTTCATAGAACTAGTTACCGGTAAAGGTTTTATGTGTTTAGAAGCCTGCCATTTGTTAAGTATGTTTTCTGTAAGTCCGTATTTCTGCTTTTTGTCTTTGAATGATTTTGGTATGTCAACCATATGTTTTTCTCCATTAAGAAGACATTACTGGGGCTGAGGAAATGGCTCAATGGGTAGAAAGTTTCTGTACAAGTGTGATGACCTGATTCCCAACCCTCAGGACCCATGTAAAAAGCTGGCTGTGACTACACACTGTTGTAACCCCAGCACTTTGGAGGGCAGAAACAGGAGTTCTCTGGGGCTTACTGGCTGTCAGCCTAGCTCCAGGTTCAGTGAGAGACCCTGTGTCAGAAGAATAAGATGGAGATTGATAGAGAAGGATCCTGATACCCTTTTCTGGCTTCCATATGGATAGGTGAATATATCCTCTCCACACAAATTACCATACACCACACAGACATGCACACGCCACATACATTCACGAACTTAAAAAAGGTATCATTATGAAATTAAAGTTATTATTAATGATGAGCCCAAGGAAGGTCTTTTTAAACAGAACTTAGTAGGGCTGGTGAGATGGCTCAGCCGTTAAAGGATAGGCTCACAACCAAAATAAAAAGAACTATGCATATACATAACACACACACACACACACACACACACACACACACACACACACACACACACACACACACACCTGCACTGATTTCCATAGTAACTGGACCAGTTTACATTTCACCAGCACTAAATTAGGGTCATTTACATATATAAGTGAGTAGCAGTCCCTCATTGGTTGTGGTATGCACCCCTTCACCTGAGGTCTGCTGGAACGCTACCTGGGCTGACCACTGTTTTCAGAATTAGGCCTCTCCGAGATATTAGCAGTAGCTAGAATTGAGATGCACTGCCAGAGAGGGATTTGGGTTGTCCTGGTAACAGGCTGGGTGTTTACAAAATAATTCTAAATCTTGACAATCCCTTTAGGGACCAAATAGGACTAAGAAGCATTCCTATCTTATAAGGATTGTTTTGGATTTAAATAAGATTAGTTTAGAAAACATTCTTAACTGTAATACCTGGCAGGCAAAAACCCTCCCTGGGCACTAGATTCTATTTGCTTCCTAAAGTGAAATAAAAAGTTCCTAACTTTTCCTATGGACCATAGTGTGACAACCCCTTCCAATCTTCTGTGTTTTTCAAGGTAAATGAAACCCAGTTTTGTGTTGATGTTCCTGCTGTAAGAAACTTCAGAGTTTCAAAAACTCAAGATGCTTCAGTATCTATAGTGGATTACTATGAACCAAGTAAGTGGGCTCTGGGGTTCCTAAGACTTTAGAAATCAAGCCAGGCAATTTACTCATTGAAAATGACCATTTCACTGGATTGGTTTTTGTAGGGCAGTTGGGAGGGAAAAGTATGGATGAAGGAGAGGCAGGAGGCAGGCTGTCTGTAGATGAAGTCTGTTGACAATTTGTGAGGCTCATACAGCATTAGTTAGCATGGGGATGTTAAAAAGTAGTATTTTGCTCATAGTGTTTTGTTTTAAAGCCATAATTACAAACTTCATACACACCCAAAAATCCCAAAACTGACAATGTCTAGTTTTGTTTTGTTTCCAAGTTTTGCTTCCTTCCAGTCCTCCATTCTGTCCGCTCCCTGACATGAATATGGCATTCCTCAGGAGGGATACATGCATGACTGGGGCGTTCCTGGGGGGATACATGCATGAATGGGCGATTCTTCAGGAGGAATACAAGCAGTGCTCTCAGTAGAATCATTACTGTGTGGGTTCTTTCTTCATCAGGAACTCAAGTGTTTTTGTAAAATCTGTGTATTATAACATTATTTTTAGTATGGAGAAAAACTGAGTGCTTGGAATGATAATTTGAACTTCTTTGATTTGGCGGGCAACATCTTATTTTTTTTTTAAAGATTTTATTTATTTATTATGTATACAGTCTTCTACCTGCATGCCAGCAGAGGGCACCAGATCTCATTCAAGGTGGTTTTTGAGTCACCATGTGGTTGCCGGGAATTGAACTCAGGACCTCTGGAAGAACAGTCAGTGCTCTTAACCGCTGAGCCATCTCTCCAGCCCGCAACATCTTATTTTTATAAAATAGGAATGACATAAAGCATGAAAGTAGTCAGCTGGCCTGGCAGGCTCCTAAATTGATTATGAAAAATTATGCTTAGAGTGAATTTTGTGAGTGTGTAATCTTTGCTACAGTTTCTAATATTCAAGCTTTTTTTCTGAATGAACAGCCATGGTGTTCAGAGACACTGGAAGGCATGAGAAGGGCAAACATAACCATGTGTAAGGTAGATGAATATAATGTCACTTGAGACTTACTTGGTGAACCAGCTCGCAGTTTGCTTGGTAGAATATTCAAGACAAAGGTATGGCTCCTGGTAGTTCTCTCTCCTAGGACAAAAGCCAGCCCCTCTTGTCCTTACAGCTGCTGTTGATGAGATACACCCAGGGTCATATGGACCATTTGGGAATACAGTATAAGGCCCTTTTCCTGAGGTGAAGGGATAGGATGTGTTGTGGGGACCAAAGACCCTTGCTATAATTTTTTTGGTGGAAAACAATTTATTTATGAGGGGAGCATTTTACAGTGAAATTGGGGGAAAGATAAGAAAAATTAAACCTCCTTTTTTGTTTTTTTTTTGGTTTTTTGAGACAGGGTTTCTCTGTGTAGCTTTGGAGCCTATTCTGGCACTCTGTAGACCAGGCTGGCCTCGAACTCAAAGAGATCTGCCTGCCTCTGCCTCCCGAGTGCTGGGATTAAAGGCGTGCACCACCAATGCCCGGCTAAACCTACTTTTTAGAAAAAGTATGTGAAGATACATTTGTGATGTTGAAAAAGCAATCTTTAAAAAATCATGCAAAAAATTAAAAATAAAATTTAATTAATCATAAAATCAAATGTTTTATTTGCAGTGAGGTTTTTATAGTATAATATGTACCTTATATAGTTTTAAAAGTATTATCTGTACTATAAATTCTACCCCAAATTGAGTAGTTATTAACTAGTATGTACTCAGTGTTTTAAAACATTGACTGAGCCGGTCTTTGGTGGCACACGCCTTTAATCCCAGCACTTGGGAGGCAGAGGCAGGTGGATCTCTGTGAGTTCGAGACCAGCCTGGTCTATAAGAGATAGTTCCAGGACAGTCTCCAAAGTCACAGAGAAACTCGTCTCAAACAAAACAAAACAAAACCCAGAAAAACATTGAAAGGAAGCTGTATTTGTTTTGGTGAGTTTATTATTTTGCATTATTTATGCAGTTTAAAAATACCAGTTTGTGTTGTGAATTGCACCTGGAGTGAACAGAGTTTGATAGTAGTATGCCCCTGTCTAACAACAGCTACAGATGAATTCCTGTCATCCTTGATTCTATGGTAAAACCTGGGTTAGACACTTCCTAGGAGTTCTAATGGCACAGAAAATATCATCCCCAAATCAACTCTTTAGAAGATTAAACTACTCAAAATTTAAAAATTTTCCTGCTCCAGTTAGAGTTAAAGTAATGTCTGCAGCTGCCATACACAGCTGCAGCCTATTTGCTGTCTTTTAATGCTGGCCAATTGATTGTAGATGGATTGGGCTGAACACATTGTTTCTTGGCATTTGTTTGTAATCTGTGCCTCCTCTTGAGCATTTCATTTATTTCTGATGAAGAAAAATAAACTGTGTGAAGAATGGTCATCTCATGATACATTTATGCTTAGCAGAACCCCTGTTTCTCAGCAAAGGAGACATGTAACCCGGTGTCTGCCTCTTTAAACAGGGAGACAGGCAGTGAGAAGCTACAACACCAAGGTGAAGCTGTCCTCATGTGACCTCTGTGGAGACAACAGCTGCTATCTCTGTATGAATGGAGCCATGGACTCCCTTCGGCCTTCTTCAAGCCTCTTCGCTTCTTGTTTCAGCCTTCTGTACTTGGTGCGACATTGGCTATGATTTATTTTTCAAGGACTTCATCTAAAACTAGCATTTCCAGAAAGCCAAGTGTGATTGTTTTCTTTCTACAACAGATGATTGCCTCTGACGATTTTGAAAAGCAGTTGTTTCACTTTCTTTGGGGCGTTCTGGTTTTGGGGAGTGCCTGCCGCAGAATGATGATGCTTGTGTCTCTTTATTGCCCCTTCTTGGAAGAAATGTTTTTAGATGCATTTGTTTTCCCCAGAATAAAAATGTTATTTTTCATTATTCATTCCTGGTTTGTAAAAGAT